TTATGGTGGGGTGGTTCTCTGTGTCAGGTCGGGGGTTATGGCGGGGTGGTTCTCTGTGTCAGGTCCGGGGGTTATGGCGGGGTGGTTCTCTGTGCCAGGTCCGGGGGTTATGGCGGGGTGGTTCTCTGTGCCAGGTCCGGGGGTTATGGCGGGGTGGTTCTCTGTGTCAGGTCCGGGGGTTATGGTGGGGTGGTTCTCTGTGTCAGGTCTGGGGGTTATGGCGGGGTGGTTCTCTGTGTCAGGTCCGGGGGTTATGGCGGGGTGGTTCTCTGTGTCAGGTCCGGGGGTTATGGCGGGGTGGTTCTCTGTGTCAGGTCCGGGGGTTATGGCGGGGTGGTTCTCTGTGTCAGGTCCGGGGGTTATGGCGGGGTGGTTCTCTGTGTCAGGTCCGGGGGTTATGGCGGGGTGGTTCTCTGTGTCAGGCCCGGGGGTTATGGCGGGGTGGTTCTCTGTGTCAGGTCCGGGGGTTATGGCGGGGTGGTTCTCTGTGCCAGGTCCGGGGGTTATGGCGGGGTGGTTCTCTGTGTCAGGTCCGGGGGTTATGGCGGGGTGGTTCTCTGTGTCAGGTCCGGGGGTTATGGCGGGGTGGTTCTCTGTGCCAGGTCCGGGGGTTATGGCGGGGTGGTTCTCTGTGCCAGGTCCGGGGGTTATGGCGGGGTGGTTCTCTGTGCCAGGTCCGGAGGCTGGCGGGGTAGTAATGCCAGACTTGGAATTATCCAGTTTTATGATAACAGGCGGAAGATGCTATCGTGTCCAGTGATTACAGGCCTCGTTATCGGAGTCACGGAGCCCAGGTTGGGTATCACACTCTATATATCAGATCAAACGGAGATTTGTCCATAGTTCAAGTCTTGGACACGAGTGGGTTGAGTGCCACCTACCGGGGTCCTTAAGAACTTAAGGCCGGATATGTTCCTGCCTGTACTTGTTAGCAGGACGTGTACTGACCTAACCACAACAGATCTGTGGAACAGCAGGTCTAATATTGACTGATATAATCAAACATTTTATGCTCATGGGTCATAAGATGGTTTCGAATCATATTATCGAGGTCTCCCCCCCCCCACCGTCTCTTAGTTCAACCCAGGTCAACCACATATGACCTTCCATAGGATAAAATCCACAATAGCTGCTTTACTCTCAGGGGCATCAGGTAAAAGGAAACGTGCCCAACCGTCTCTCTATCCAGTCCGGAGATCAAATCCTGGAGGCCCGGTTGTCAGCCGAGGACGTAGACCACTCTGCTACATGTAGAAAACGGCATCAATTATTACCACATAATATATGGACCTTGAACTGCTTGCTGGTAGCGAGCCTGTTCGTATTACGAATACGAACACGTATAACTAACTTGGACTAGATGTGACTCCTGGCAGAACTCCCTCAGGAAGCCAGGAGCCATGACCACACTCTCGGCTCCTGACAGAACTCCCTCAGGAAGCCAGGAGCCATGACCACACTCCCGGCTCCTGGCAGAACTCCCTCAGGAAGCCAGGAGCCATGACCACACTCCCGGCTCCTGACAGAACTCCCTCAGGAAGCCAGGAGCCATGACCACACTCCCGGCTCCTGACAGAACTCCCTCAGGAAGCCAGGAGCCATGACCACACTCCCGGCTCCTGACAGAACTCCCTCAGGAAGCCAGGAGCCATGACCACACTCCCGGCTCCTGACAGAACTCCCTCAGGAAGCCAGGAGCCATGACCACACTCCCGGCTCCTGGCAGAACTCCCTCAGGAAGCCAGGAGCCATGACCACACTCCCGGCTCCTAACAGAACTCCCTCAGGAAGCCAGGAGCCATGACCACACTCCCGGCTCCTGACAGAACTCCCTCAGGAAGCCAGGAGCCATGACCACACTCCCGGCTCCTGACAGAACTCCCTCAGGAAGCCAGGAGCCATGACCACACTCCCGGCTCCTGACAGAACTCCCTCAGGAAGCCAGGAGCCATGACCACACTCCCGGCTCCTGGCAGAACTCCCTCAGGAAGCCAGGAGCCATGACCACACTCCCGGCTCCTGACAGAACTCCCTCAGGAAGCCAGGAGCCATGACCACACTCCCGGCTCCTGGCAGAACTCCCTCAGGAAGCCAGGAGCCATGACCACACTCCCGGCTCCTGACAGAACTCCCTCAGGAAGCCAGGAGCCATGACCACACTCCCGGCTCCTGACAGAACTCCCTCAGGAAGCCAGGAGCCATGACCACACTCCCGGCTCCTGACAGAACTCCCTCAGGAAGCCAGGAGCCATGACCACACTCCCGGCTCCTGACAGAACTCCCTCAGGAAGCCAGGAGCCATGACCACACTCCCGGCTCCTGACAGAACTCCCTCAGGAAGCCAGGAGCCATGACCACACTCCCGGCTCCTGACAGAACTCCCTCAGGAAGCCAGGAGCCATGACCACACTCCCGGCTCCTGACAGAACTCCCTCAGGAAGCCGGCCACCATCTGGCTCCACCCTAATAAGCGTGTAAGCGTGGGGTAGTCCAGCGGCTACCGTAGACCAGTTCACTGATAGAGAGATACCAGCACCAGTTCCGTCACTCCTGCTCACACTACTGACCTTCTTGTTAACCATGAAAGGTCTCGCGAGACCCTGAGTCTCCACCTACCACACTGCAGCAGTACATGTACTGACCACCACCACAACACTGCCGCAGTACATGTACTGACCACCACCACAACACTGCCGCAGTACATGTACTGACCACCACCACAACACTGCCGCAGTACATGTACTGACCACCACAACAACACTACAACAGTACATGTACTGACCACCACCACAACACCACAACAGTACATGTACTGACCACCACCACAACAGTACATGTACTGACCACCACCAGAACAGTACATGTACTGACCACCACAACACTACAACAGTGCATGTACTGACCACCACCACAACACTACAACAGTACATGTAATGACCACCACCACAACACTGTAACAGTACATGTACTGACCACCACCACAACACTGTATCAGTACATGTACTGACCACCACCACAACACTACAACAGTACATGTACTGACCACCACCACAACACTGTAACAGTACATGTACTGACCACCACCACAACACTACAACAGTACATGTACTGACCACCACCACAACACTACAACAGTACATGTACTGACCACCACCACAACACTGTAACAGTACATGTACTGACCACCACCACAGCAGTACATGTACTGACCACCACCACAACACCACAGCAGTACATGTACTGACCACCACCACAACACCACAACAGTACATGTACTGACCACCACCACAACACTGCAACAGTACATGTACTGACCACCACCACAACACCACAACAGTACATGTACTGACCACCACCACAACACCACAACAGTACATGTACTGACCACCACCACAACACCACAACACTACATGTACTGACCACCACCACAACACTGTAACAGTACATGTACTGACCACCACCACAACACCACAACACTACATGTACTGACCACCACCACAACACTGTAACAGTACATGTACTGACCACCACCACAACACCACAACACTACATGTACTGACCACCACCACAACACTGCAACAGTACATGTACTGACCACCACCACAACACTACAACAGTACATGTACTGACCACCACCACAACACCACAACAGTACATGTACTGACCACCACCACAACACCACAACAGTACATGTACTGACCACCACCACAGCAGTACATGTACTGACCACCACCACAACACCACAACAGTACATGTACTGACCACCACCACAACACTGCAGCAGTACATGTACTGACCACCACCACAACACTACAACAGTACATGTACTGACCACCACCACAACACTGTAACAGTACATGTACTGACCACCACCACAACACTGTAACAGTACATGTACTGACCACCACCACAACACTACATGTACTGACCACCACCACAACACCACAACAGTACATGTACTGACCACCACCACAACACTGTAACAGTACATGTACTGACCACCACCACAACACTGTAACAGTACATGTACTGACCACCACCACAACACTGCAGCAGTACATGTACTGACCACCACCACAACACCACAACAGTACATGTACTGACCACCACCACAACACCACAACAGTACATGTACTGACCACCACCACAACACCACAACAGTGCATGTACTGACCACCACCACAACACCACAACAGTACATGTACTGACCACCACCACAACACTGCAGCAGTACATGTACTGACCACCACCACAACACCACAACAGTACATGTACTGACCACCACCACAACAGTACATGTACTGACCACCACCACAACAGTACATGTACTGACCACCACCACAACACTACATGTACTGACCACCACCACAACACCACAACAGTACATGTACTGACCACCACCACAACACTACATGTACTGACCACCACCACAACACTACAACACTACATGTACTGACCACCACCACAACACTGTAACAGTACATGTACTGACCACCACCACAACACTACATGTACTGATCACCACCACAACACTACAACACTACATGTACTGACCACCACCACAACACTGCAGCAGTACATGTACTGACCACCACCACAACACTACAACAGTACATGTACTGACCACCACCACAACACTGCAGCAGTACATGTACTGACCACCACCACAACACTGCAGCAGTACATGTACTGACCACCACCACAACACTACATGTACTGATCACCACCACAACACTACAACACTACATGTACTGACCACCACCACAACACTGCAGCAGTACATGTACTGACCACCACCACAACACTGCAGCAGTACATGTACTGACCACCACAACAACAGTACATGTACTGACCACCACCACAACACTACAACAGTACATGTACGGACCACCACCACAACAGTACATGTACTGACCACCACCACAACACTACAACAGTACATGTACTGACCACCACCACAACACCACAACAGTACATGTACTGACCACCACCACAACACCACAACAGTACATGTACTGACCACCACCACAACACTGCAGCAGTACATGTACTGACCACCACCACAACACTGCAGCAGTACATGTACTGACCACCACAACAACAGTACATGTACTGACCACCACCACAACACTACAACAGTACATGTACGGACCACCACCACAACAGTACATGTACTGACCACCACCACAACACTACAACAGTACATGTACTGACCACCACCACAACAGTACATGTACTGACCACCACCACAACACTACAACAGTACATGTACGGACCACCACCACAACAGTACATGTACGGACCACCACCACAACACCACAATAGTACATGTACTGACCACCACCACAACAGTACATGTACTGACCACCACCACAGCAGTACATGTACTGACCACCACCACAACACCACAACAGTACATGTACTGACCACCACAACAACACTGTAACAGTACATGTACTGACCACCACCACAACAGTACATGTACTGACCACCACCACAACAACACTGTAACAGTACATGTACTGATCACCACCACAACACCACAACAGTACATGTACTGACCACCACAACAACACTGTAACAGTACATGTACTGACCACCACAACAACACTGTAACAGTACATGTACTGACCACCACCACAACACCACAACAGTACATGTACTGACCACCACAACAACACTGTAACAGTACATGTACTGACCACCACCACAACAGTACATGTACTGACCACCACCACAACAACACTGTAACAGTACATGTACTGATCACCACCACAACAACACTGTAACAGTACATGTACTGACCACCACCACAACAGTACATGTACTGACCACCACCACAGCAGTACATGTACTGACCACCACCACAACACCACAACAGTATATGTACTGACCACCACCACAACACCACAACAGTACATGTACTGACCACCACCACAACAGTACATGTACTGACCACCACCACAACACCACAACAGTACATGTACTGACCACCACCACAACACTACATGTACTGACCACCACCACAACAACACTGTAACAGTACATGTACTGACCACCACCACAACAGTACATGTACTGACCACCACCACAGCAGTACATGTACTGACCACCACCACAACAACACTGTAACAGTACATGTACTAACCACCACCACAACACTACATGTACTGACCACCACCAGAACACCACAACAGTACATGTACTGACCACCACCACAACACTGCCACAACCTCACCTCCGCCTCTGGCTATCGTGATGATAACGCGTGATAACTTTTAGACTGCGCAGCAAATTGATAGTAATTATTTTAAATTAAATTTTTCGTAAGTAGCCTTGTTATGTGGTAAATAAAAAGTGGAACATAAAAGGCTTGACGGATTAGTCATGTTTCCCGCCTCC